CCTCTTGAACATGATCACTTGGTGATCGAAACACGTGTCGAGGTGTTTTGGGAAACCATATTGTAGGACCTCTATTTATTGATCAAAATTCAACAGGGGAACTGTATTTGAATACGATGGGAACTACTGTTGACCCTCTCATCACTGAAAACGTCGAAACGAATCCTAATGAATTCGATATGGATATTGTATTCCAACAAGATAAAGCACCACCACATTACTCCAGACAAGTAGAAAACTATTTGGATACTACTTTTCCCTGTCGTTGGATTGGCCGTCGAGCTCCTACAGAATTTCCAGCCCGCTCGCCAGATTTGACACCTTTGGACTATTTCATGGAGATATTTGAAGTAGAAGGTGTACGAAACTGAACCTGTTTCAATATTGGATATACGGCAGATGATAATAAATATTTGTAGAGATATTGACGTTACTGTGTTCAAAAATGTTCGGCGTGAAATATCGGATAGGCTGTTCATATGTCGAGAAGTTCAAGGCAACTATTCCGAGCATCTTTTGAACTGACCTCAAGCTTTACTTCATATTATGTAGTTAAATGTCAATGTATTCAGGCAATTATTAAAAGTTCCGCCATTTTGTGTTAGGAATCACACGTTAAAAGGTAAGACCTCGTTAGTCCTTAGCTCGCACAAGTTTCTCAACTTCTGAGAGTTGTTGTTCGTATGGGGGAGGCAGCTGATTAACGGAAAAACAGATTTTAAACAGATTTTTTTTGTAATGATTGAAGATATCGACATTATATTCTAGGGTTGTGAAGCACTTCTCAGGAGATTAATTTTTTCCCAGATGGCGCCCAGTCGCCATCTTAAAAGATTCATCTGTCAATTTCACTTCAAAACAAAGTATTCATGCATTGATTATATCATCCCAAATTTCAATTTTTTTGAGTCTACCCGTTCTAGAAAATAAAAGGGAGGGGCATCATAGAAATGCATTGTATAACCAATGGAATTTTTTTTGGGATCTGGTGAAACAACTCTCGAAAAAATAATAGTGTTTTAGAAATTTTAAGAAAAAACACAAGTTGGCTAAATGTGACCATGAATAAGTCGCAGTCGATCGGAAAAGACAAGTGTCAGCCGTCGTTATTTCTTCCACGAGATAATTTACAACAATATAAAGATAATTATGTGGTGATTGAAATTGACCAAATTATAATTAAACAGTGTTGTCATTTTATTGAATATCACATAACTCATTTAATGTATAATTGCATGGAAATGTGCCAAAATTATACATTTCATCCAAGAGTATGAACTTTAGCGGCCGAAGATAACTGTGCCATGGCTATTTTCCGGGTTTTTGGTCGTGATCTGCAGGTTTTTATACCCGAAGTGTCATCTGTTACTCCGGTAAAAATTAATGAAGGCGAAGTGATCAGGTTGTTCTCACAGCAGATACCAAATCCGGGGTCATTCTATCGGTGATTGGTGTGGTTTTTTTTTATTATCATTCATTCATATCAATTCCCTGTTTACCTCTGTTCAATTTTTTCATGTCAATGTATTTTTATCGCCTCCTTATATACTTTCAGATAGTTATTCTAAGCTTTGTCTATTATCAGCAAACGAGATATTGTGAGTGCCTTTCTCGAGTTCATATTCACAGCTAATTTGTCGGTTTGCTGAGTCGACAATTTTTCTTTAATTCAGAGAGCCAGGTAATTATACTCTTTTTTGTATTTCCATTGTAGACTGACCCGACCCGACTACATCCCTTGTAGCTACCAAATAGACATCCAGGTTCAACAAGTGTTCCAGGTGTGTAACAGCATCATTTGAGATTGTAGATAACTGATGCTAGATGAGAATAACGAAACCATTTCAATTCTTTTATATTACTTGGAAGCATTCAACTATATCAGTCATAAAATATTCTGTGCTACAATGACTTCAGTTATGCATCAATAACATTGATATTATCCCATCTAGAGAAGAAATTGTGAAAATTTCAGATTCATATTTGTATCTCCTGTAAGAAAATTTTTATCTCTCCATTCATTATATAAGTTAGTATCTTTCAAAACCGTAGGCATAAGTCAAGTAGTTACCATTGATAACATGTTAAAAATCAATCCATATGGGTTAGTAGCCATCACTTTTGGAATGGATAGTATCAGGAAAAAATGTGTAAAGCTACAAGTCACCATTCAGGTCATATTGGATTGATTTCAATTTATAAACAAAAATATCATAAACACGTTACCCACAAACTCATAACTGCTACTACTAGAAAATACTATGTGAATTATAAGTTTCATTTCATAGAAATTGATTCGCTTCCTCAGAAACTATATGTATGAAAAGTTCTTATGTTCTTAAGCAACATCTGTGTAGCGTTTAGGGTAACTGAGTCTTAGAAAAACTAATTTCGATTATTTCATCCATTCTTCAACCTCAAGTTTACCTATTTCGATTTTTGTACCGTCAGTTCTTTCATCGTCTTCTCTATTCATTCATTAGTGTCACATGCAAGCCCAAAAATTTCTGAATTTTGCAATGATGGAACACCAGATGCGAATGCAAATTCGCGATATGTATCAAAAATCGTTTGCACTTCAAATGTGAAGCATTTTTCATTTCGTAAAATTTTGGCTCATTGTTTTTATAAGATATGAAAGTATTTTTATCATCATTTCAAACTCAAAGTTTGAGAAGATCATTAGAATCATAAGGTTCAGCTCAGTGGGAGGGCGCACCGGCATCACCAACCGATATTTCTCCAAAACGTGAAATAAATGATTATCAGGTCCAACAATCGTGTGCCCTGAGTAGACGTAATATACCAAGAATTACAGCTTTTTGCATTTGCCCGGCCAAAATGTATGTTCTATTGCGGCAAACCGTCCCACCCAGAGATCGAACCTCCCTCAATATTGTCTGATGAAAGCAGAGGGACATTAGCAACGACTGAGCCAGTCGTTGCTAATGTTGCAATTGGAGATATAAACTTCGTCCTTGCAGTCTACGCATATACCATTGATGATGTCTGCTGCAATGTCAGACGAAACATAAGGTACTCCGGATTTCTTTCTCTGTAATACTGGTGCAGGGTGCTTCCGTCTACAAGCTTTTTCGCATCGCTCGTATCGCACGTGTATACTCTTTCATCATCCTTGAGAA